GGGGGGAAATATGCTCACTGCCATTGAGCTAGTTCTGATCCATAGCAACCCTGGAAGACAGAGTAGAAATGCCCCTGAGGGTTTCTGAGACTGTAACTCTTTAGGGAAGCGAAAAGCCTCACCTTTCTTCCAAGGAGCGCTGGTAGTTTCGAATTGCTAAAACTATGGTTGGCAGCATCATGCACAACCCACTCTTACCACCAGGGCTCCTTAAGATGTAAACACATTACAAAATCTACATTTTTTTTTAAAGCTAAAATACAAGAATACTTAAAATATTCCTTAGAATACAACAGTGTATGGATGTGTTAGGTACTGTATCTCTACACATACATTCTGACCCAGATGCCCAAGGTAGAAACATTGTTTTCTCCCTCACCTCCCACTAAGCCCAATTGATTCTAACTCTGTAATGTCTCTTGGATCACTCTGGCTATTTTGTTGTGAGGGGCTGTGGAGTCACTTCCCCACTCATAGTGACTTTCCTCCGGATGCTCCGTGGAGGTCTCATCAGCTAACTTTTGGGAAGTAGATTGTCAAGCCTTTCTTCCTAGTTTGTCTGTCTGAAAGCTGCATGACAGCAACAAGCAAAGCCTCCACTGACAAATGGGTTGTGTAGAAATCAAAGCCGAGACACCAACGTGGAAGATGAGAATTCTACCACTGACCCACCATTATTGTAGCCCTACCAGAAATTTTCTCCACCTTTCACCTGCACTCCCTGCCTACCCTAGTTTGGACTCCAGGTGTGACAACCAAAATGTCCTCTGTGTGACCAAATGTCTGTTGGGAGGTATTTAAAGTCACTCTGGCAGATAAGTACTGCTTTTCAGCTGATCTGTTCACATAAAAATGATCTTTTATTTTATAAGGACCACAGTTTACGTCCATGAAGCAGAAACCAAAAGATCAACATAAGGCTGAAACTTAGAACGTGGACCTCACACTCACCATGCTTAAAACTAAATAAGCAGACACCCTATTAAGAAAAATACCCACAATATGCTCGCTTAAAATCTCTTTGAACATATGGACTTAAATCATCATTTTACATCAAGCCTAAACTTTGAAAACTCAGTACCTTCTGGCAAAGTTTAATTATATCAAATATATTTTTTAAGCTTCTAGATTTTAGAATATAGTTGCAATTAAAAAAAATTCTCTTTGCATCTAAGTCAGCCCTCTGAGAAGCTGATGTCAATTATCAATACAAACCTTCCAGAGCAAATCTACTGTCAATGCATAATGCCAAGCAACTGAACAATACTCCCATTAAATAACGCATTTCAAAGAAAAAAATTTAAAAATATTTGCAATTCATACACTTGAAAAACAGTACGATTTAAAAAACCCCAAACATCCTCCTTCAAATTCCCGACAGTAGATACATCCCTAAGAAACGTACTCAAAGGCATATTCAAAATAGGAAAGGCGCTATCGGGAGGTTAGAAGCCCCCAAACTCTGGAGGTGAAGCTCTCAAATAAGCCACTCACATGTGTGCAGTGGAACTACTCCACCGGGTCTTCACAGCTGACCTTTAGGAAGCAGATCGCCAGGCCTGTCAGCCAAGGCGCCTCTGCCAACCTATGTGCTGGCAGCCCAGCACTTCACTGCTTGCACCACTCGGGCGACTCCTAAAAGGCCCCGCCTAGCAGTGGAGTTCTCGGCCCCAGAGTGAAGCCCTGCCTGCAGGGACCTGCCGGCCGCCTACCTTCAGCCGTTTGATCATCTCATCCGTGGTGATCTTGTCGGTGATCTCCTTCACCCCCGGCGGGTAGGCGATCTTCCCGTCGGCACTCACGACGCCACAGAGGGCAGTGGCAGGCTTGGGCTGCGTGGTGGAGAAGTCCATCCTGGGGGACAACTTTTCTTTCACAGTCCTCTACCGGCCTCTATCGGTCAGAAAACAAAAGTTCAGCGGGAAAGGGGCGACTTTGTAACCTCTTTTTTCATTTCAAAAAATCTCCAATCCAGAAAGGGCCCTTTCTCCCGACAGGCCGGGGCCGGGCGACTGGCCCCGCCACGGAGCTCTCCCCGGGGGCCGGCCTGCCCCGGC